ATAAGCTGAAATTCAGATACTAAAAAAAAAAAAGGTCAACAGTTCCCTGTGCGTAATGTTATAATTAAAGGAAGTTTCATACTTTATGTGTGTTAAATTATTGTCGATTCTCCTGAAATTTCTATTTTAATCAACAATAATTTGTCTCAACAGAAAGAAAATTAAATACATAGTTTTTAAAATTACCGATATAGTTTAAATATGGCCCTAGGGGGTCACCAGAATTTTTTACTTGTAAAGGGGTCGCGTATTCAATAAGGTTGAAAAACACTGAATTACATAATAGAAACATCCGACGACAGCGTCATTCAAGAGCTTCCGACGGACTGACGACAGTGACGATGCGTGTCACGGGGGAGGGGTGCGGTGAAAAACGAGTACAAGTGGCTGAGATAGAATCAGTTCCTATATAGAATAGAATCCTCATTAATCGATTCAGAACGATTTTTAAATGTTTTTTTTTTATAAAATAAATAATATTTGCGTATGGAACTAAAGAGCTGCAGCTTCACATCTAAAGATCCGCATGTGGCTCGCGAGCCGCAGGTTGCCGACCCCTGCTCTAGACCATTCTCAAAGTGTGGATAATATATTTTTCTTAGATTGACAACACTATTCTACAAGTTTCATTCTAAGGAGTTTTTCTACTGTACAAATATCAGTTTTGTTTTGGCTGAGTTGACACATCACAGCATTAATAAGCTGTTTTAAAAGACATAAATAGGAAATGATGATGATAATACAAATCTTATATCTGCATAATTATTTATTAATTTCAATCATTGTTAAATCTTAATTGCCAGACATGTAGTGTGGAATGTATGCTGACATGTGATATGATTTACTATATAATCAGTGCACTTTGGTTGTGGATTAGAGTTTTAGATGATAATATTGATGTTGTAGCTGCATAAAAAATATATATTATATATATTCAATACATATGGTAAATCCTACCAGCGTTCTAGCTATTTTTGGGACAAATATATACAATGTGTAATTTAGGTAAATATTTTAACTTGTGACATAACCAGAAGACAGAAATACTTATAAAACTTGAAATCAGACAATTACTGCACAAACATGGGATTCCCACTGCACAATTCACACTATACATTTTGTATCCAGTTGCAAGTTAGAATATGCCCTGTATTCTAGATGCCAAGCCTGTTTGCATGTTATCATAGTTAAATACATGCTTTTGACATTTGGTAAGTGTCATATTACAAAACTCACTTTATTAATAAATTATACTAGAGTGTTGTCCTAGTATTGTTCATTAAATTTTCATTGAAATCACTCATGTTTTATATGCTTACATAATAAATTATCTATTTTTGCAGTGTAATGATTTTAAATTCATGGGATGAACAGAAACAATAAAATTGGCTGTTTCTATTTATTCCATGCAACTTTTTTAATACCAATAGTTTAAAATTTGAAGAATTCTTCTAGCTCCGAATAGCTAAATATCTATTGTATATTATATTACATTATATTAGTGAAGACACTTCTCTTAAACTGGTGACATCTCTATAACGGAGTATACAAAAGTAAAAAGATTCCAGCAGTTTCTATAAAACTTTATAAGCTCACTTACAATGCTAAATATATTATAATGAAGAAAGTGTTCTGTCTTTTCCATCTGATTATATGTTGCAAATTGAAGAATGTGTATATTTGGAGCTCTTTCTACAAAAGAATACCATAGACAACAAGATTTTTGAGGATATGATGAATTTTACTTCATATGTGGGAAATGTCTTAAGGAAACACTCTACCCGTTTCCAGCACTTCAGTATGCTTCAAAAACATAAGTTTTTGTGACAAGTTTAGTTAATAAAGTAAAAATGAAAGAGCTTTTAAAAATTTATAAAAATGCTATTTCAGGTTAAAAAATAAAAATTTTGAATCTACTTTTTTTACTAATTTCATATTTACCCTAATAGAGCAAAATTATATTAATAATGGAAATTTAGCTTAGATGATAGATGAAGCCTAAAGCCATTTCTAGCATTAAACAAAAATAACAAATAAATTCACACTTAGAAGAGAGACAAAAAATCATCAATATTTGTCCTTTTAGCACCAAAGAACAACAATATTTCACAGTAGAGTTAGCTTTTATTTCTAGGCTCTTCTCTGCCTAAATATGTAAAAAATTGTCTACAAAGTGTTCTGATGGTGGTAGGATCTAAAATTTATAATTATTAAAAATAATAGTTTTATATCTATTCTTCTGAATTAAGAATATATTTTTATGATAGTCATTTCTTTGTACTTATTGCATAAATCAACCAGTATTAAAATTTTATTACTTTCATTTCAACTAGAAATATATAAATATTTATATTATATCTGATTTTAACTTTCCTCTTAAAAAGTCATTAATTACTATAACAACTTCACTGATGTTTTTAAAAGAATTCTCAATTTCATTTCATTGTTTTTAAGGAAAAAATTTATACAGAAAAAATGTTTATATATATATATAAATTTGTATTGTAATTCATTTTGCCTTGGAATACTAAATAAGATAAAATTATAATAACTGTTACTCTAGTAATTCTGAATTATTGGCATCTTTTTAAATATTTCATTATAAATTACCTCTGTCTAATATAAGTAAACCTGACTAATATGGTGGCTTAAGATCCAAATCATTGCCATAAATATAACCTTAGCAGATCATAACCCTTTTTCAATTGCCATTGTATATAAAAATCTAAACATATTTGCATCATCATTTATTAAGAACATAATAGTATAGGAATTTAAAAAATTCAAAAGTAAAAATAATAAAAAAAACCAATCAAGTGCCATTGTCATTTGTCAAGTTCCCTCGACAGCAAGGTAAGTGCAGGAAATCAAACATAAAATAATAATAATAATTTGCATTCTTTAAAATTATATTTGGAAAACATAATTGAAATGAGATCAGCTTTTTTAAGAATTTGCTGTTTATAATAATGTTTTTTCTTTTCAGATGATGATATTGTAATTGTTCTGAAAAAAAAAAAAAAAAAAAAAAAAAATTCTTTTGTTCCAATTGTACAAATTATTTAAATACACTGCTTGAAAATATCAAAAGAGTTTTTATTGCTGCATTTATATCATACAAATGAATGGTTTGAATAAAACAAACATTATAATAAATACGCATTACTAATATGTAATCCGTATTAGAAGAGATGAGTAATGAAAATAGCCAATGTTACTTGAAATCTTCACTGAGAATTATGTTAAGATTTTCTTTCTGTAAATTTATTTTGTTATGAATTCTCTATACAAGGTTAATAAAGTTAATATGAAATAGATAATTTACACCAAAATAAAACTTTTATTCAGAAATATTGTCATTATTTGTGTTTGATATTTTCCTATTAGTAAAAATTAGGAAAATAAAGAATTTATTTAAATAAAAATTCAGCTTTATATCGGCTTAATATAAATCTATAATTCAATTTATTGAAATTACTTAAATATAATAAAAATGAAGAGAAAAAAAAAACAGAAAAAAATGATGGATTATTTGAAAATCAATGATTTAATATTTGAACTAGACAAATGTACACATTCAATGTGATGACTTGCTGTTTGCTGATTTCCTATATTTGCAGATTCATGCAAATCTGTCATCTATTTTGCCTCACATCTTGTATCTATTTTAAGTTTATGGATTTTCATTTTATATTTTATTTATTTGTTCATTTTAAAACATTTGCAAGTTTCCTTTTCAATTGATTAATATGGAATATTATATTTTGATAGCTCATTTTATTGTTTTTCAAAGTAAAATAATTAAAATTGGCAAAAATCTTTTATTTTCTCAGATGTTTAGGATGGTCCAAAAGCATTTTAAATAATTCACCTATCTGTAAAGAAGTATTTTAAAATTCTTCACAAAGATAAATATTCTTCAAAATATTTTCACATGAATTAATATTTGTGAAATTTGAAATAATTTCACAACAGAATGTTTTAAGACTTAACGACAGCCACATGGCATATCTTAAGCTTGTTTATATTGTTACACTGAATACCATGGAGTCTAGGCTGATCCCAATACTTTCTAAAAATATACTTAAGTGATGTTTTTGATTTTACAGTTTAATTTTGATTTACACTGAAAGTACAAAATGTTGTGTTACATATTTATGTTTTATTATATATAAATTAGAAAAATATCTATATATAGATATATAATTTTTCTTCTTCATCATCATAATCACTCTTAATGTACTATTTCTAGAACTATCCTGTCAAGAAGATACTTTTTGACAGTTTCATTATTGTATTTTTGAGCACATTCAATACAATTCAATGTTCAGAACACAAAGTGTGTACATTTAGAAAAATGACTTGAATGCTTCATGTCTTTTTACCTAGGTCAAATAATGCACAGGCCAAGTTTTCATCCCTTCTCTGGTAGTGCAGCAGTTTTAGTATTTTTTTTTGGACTTCTTCACCAGTGATTTTCTTATTTCCGAGAGATAAGAGAGAATGGAAAAAGAGGTTTAGAGAAAAAACTTCCTCTAAACCTCTTTTTCCATTCTAATTTGGGTTCATGTGTATCAATAATATAAAGTATTTAGAGAAGTGATGCTGAGAATGTTGAAAAAAGACAACCAGTTTTTGTGGTTTCCCATTTGTCCTAGTAAAAGATGCAATCATTTATCCTATCAGAGATGTTTATTGAAATCATATTATTGAATATTTATAAAAATAAATTTATATTAAAAATTACCATGAAAAGATTGTAGTAATTGTTTTACAATATATTCAGAATAATGGGATAATTTCAGTTTTGAACACACTGTATATTTATAAATTATTTTTAATCAGCTATTTTCATCTAAAAAATATATTTAATAAGTAATATGATGATGAACTTAAATCATTTTAGACAATATACATTATGAAAATTTCATTTATATTTTAGTGATAACTAATTTTGCTATAGCATTCCATAAAGAAAATTACTAATTTAATTTACTCACCTGACCCACGAATGAGGTTTGGAGAAAACGAGACTAGTAAGAGTAGCAGCACTATAAGTACAGCATGAGGTAGAGGCCACACTGATGGATGGTGTGTTGTTACGCGAACTGCTACGACTTCTTCCACTCGTACCCTCTTTGTTACTGTTGTGGAATGATTGACTCAGTTGACTGAGACTAGACAAACTACTATTGCTGTGGGCACTATGACTGTCCCTGCCCAAGTTTGGTGTAGGTGTGTTTGGATGAGGTGTTGTCACAACCAAAGGACTTGCACTTCTATGTCCCAATGGCGTCGTAGTCGTAATAGTAACAGATACACGAGTAGAAACGGGAGTTACAGATGAGGATGGTGTCACCGACGATGTAACGACGACCGCAGAAGGGATGGACGGTGACGGCGACCTCTGAGTATATTGTTGCTGTGTTGTCGGATGAGGAAGAGTGTATAAAGATGGCACTTCGGTGCCAGTAATCGTCGTGGTTTTACCACTATTGATACAAATAGTCGGTGGCTTTGGAGTACTGTTTACCGTCACTGTTGTTGGAGTGTGATTTAGACAATTTGACAGCAATGGCACAGTTGTGTGGTTTGATAGAAAATGATCGTGAGTCCTTGACGTCAATTTATTATTCACTACAGGGGGATGATTGAAAACTCTAGATGGTGGATGATGTTGTCTATTTTCCCTATTAGCACTGTTAACAGAATGATCTCCCTTATGAGAAGGAAGGAAGAAAGGAGGCGAATGCTGCAAAATACCACCAGAATTTGACGAAGCAACCGATACAGGTGGAGGAGGACTACAGACCAATGGCTCCCTTGGACTCGTAGCCGTCGGTATGGCCGTGGCAGCAACAGGATTGGCCACGCTTATCGTGGCCGTGACAGCCGCCACGGCAGCAGAAGGCTCAGGATGCAAAGGTCCATTGAGTGATGGATGAAGTGATGAAAGAAGAGGAGGAGGAGAAGACCTACTATTCTGATTTGACTGGAAGGCTGGGCTATCACAACTACTATTATTGGCAGAAAAATCTGAAAAAAATTTGAACCTTATTAATATCTTATTTTTAAATAATTAAAATTTTTAAGAAAATAAAATAAAAAATCAACTCAAATCTCTAATAATACACACCACAGAATAAGTTAATTTAATCCTTAATGTTTGTTTATTGCATATTAAAATGATTTCATTTTAATAAGCAATTTCATTGCTTTAATAAAGATATGTATTACATAAATATCAAGTAAATATTAAAAATATTTATTCAACAGCTTTACAAAGTATAAATAAAATTAGTTCACTTTATTCAGAATCTTCTTAATGCTTGCATCTTGTAGTTTGAAGTCTTAAAGTATTAAGACTTCAAACTACAAACCAAAGAAAAAATTTTTAAAAATTATTCTGTTTATGATTTTGATTTTATAATAGAAGCATGATTACCAATGTAAAAAGATTAACTATTCAAATGCAATTGAATAGAAGTTCATTGTTGTCAGAAATATATATATATATATATATCATATTTTTTTTATGATACACATTTTAAAAGATTGTAAGAAACTTGCAAAACATACAGAATATTTAAAATAAAACAAATAATTCAAAAAAGTTCAATACATGACTTGAAAGAAAATTTTAAAAAATGATCTAAGATGGAATTCTACTATATGGATTATACTATTGTACAATATATGAATTTAATACTGAATTACTAATTGTAGTTTTACACAATGCATATAACAACAGTTATTATTTAAATATTTTGCAGAAATTCTAACTGCTTAGTCATTACAGGTGTATGCTAATAGTAAGAATAGTAGAAATTTACAAATTGACTAGACAGTATGCAAATTTACTGCATTTAACTGCAAACTGTTTTTGCCATTTAGCAAAATAATTGATTTTTGAATATAATTTATTCTCTTATCACACACATGCATACATTTGCCATTATAAAAAGCAAGTGTTTGTACAGATGTCCACTTTCTAGTTTGTTTTAATAATGTGATATTTTGTTTATTTTAAAGTTATTATGAAAAGATATTTAAAATCACTTCTGATAAATCTAAAAAATTTTAACATTTTTTTCCTACTAGAATTTTAAAAAGTTCATAATAATTACTTGTGTATGTGTGTGTGTATGTATGCATGATAGTAAGAAATTTCTCAATCAAAGATAAAATATACAAATAACTATACACTGACAAAATTTATCTTAATCACTTGAAGTAATGTTTTTATATGTATGTATTGTTCAATATTTTAAAGTTAAGAATTTAATTTAAATAAATTATTATAAATAATCAATCTGCAAAAACAGATAAATTTTTTAAACAGATTAAATTTACTTATATCAATTTCATTATTAAGAAAATTGTTGTTGCACATATTTTATTTAAGAAACATTAATGAACAGCATTTTGTAATGATTTACAACTGTATTATTTATTATTATAAAATGAAAAATATTAAAACTACAAACAGGGGATTATCATAATTCAAATATGTCATCTATACAGTTTGAATTTTTTAATAAGTTCATTTATTTATTTTAGTAAGAAGAATTATTAGGGCAACAGCTGCTAACTTTATCATTTTATAAATATGACAGCAGCAACTTGATTTATGATTTTACTTGTAGACCCATCCACTAATCATTTTTGGTTATTTAATCACATCATCCAAACATAAAAGAATGGGATAATTATCATTTGGTCTATAAATACTTCTCTAATACTGTTTAATTTGTTCCCATAATACAAATAATTTGCAATATGTGCAGTAGTGCTCAACTAATATTTATTAGCATCAAATCAAACAGTCTTAGTAAGCTGGTATGTGGAATCAGTATGTTCTTTATCTGCATTTGGTGTTTTAACAAATGTATATATATTTTTTTAACTATTTAAACAATTCATAAACTTCTTGGAAACTTGAAAAATGTTTTTCCTTTGTTGTTTTGATATTTTCTTGCTGATGTTCCATTGAAACAGAATTAACATTGCCATTAAATTGAAAATCCTCTCTCAGATTTTTACTTTGGTAAAATTTGATCAAACCTAATATACAGGGTGAGTCAAATGTCACTAACACCTTTATAAAATCAAATTGAATTGGACAAGAAATTTTGGCATGATAGAAACATGTATGCTCATAAGCGACCAACTTTGTGGGTGTCAATCGGATGTCACTATTTTAATTCATCTCAAAATGGGATTCATCATCAAAATAGAGTTATACAATACATAAAATGAAGCTAGAATTTCAAGAAAATGCAATAGTACACTAATTTTCATCTAAACTTAATGTGTGAAGAAGTATGAAGAAATGAACCTAACCAATGTCTCCTTTTCTAGATGTGACAAAACAGCATTAGGATTCATCTAATGAAGAAAAAACAAATCCAGGTCATTCTGTTGGTTAAGGAGAGATGCTCATATGATTTTACAAATAATTTTAATCAATATCATCCCTATAGAGACATGTGACATTTGCACAATTGCTGTAAAAATTCTGGGAGGCTGACCAATCAAAGATAAATCATGATTTAGGTGCCATGTGAATTTCTTTCCCCAGAAATCAGGGTAATCTGGATTTGTTCCTCACTCATTACAGGCATCCTAATGCTATTTTAACATGCCTATAAAAGGAGAAATTGATTAGATTCATTTCATCATAACACATTAAGTTAGGCAAAAAACAAGTGAATTGTTGCATTTCTCTTGAAATTCTAGCCTCATTTCATGTATCTCATGATCTCATTCCCATGATGAATTCAAGATGGCAGTTGTCTGATACACAAAGAAGATTGCTTCTATGCATAATATGTTTCTATTGTGTCAAAATTTCCCCAGCCTAATTCAGTTTGATTTTATCAGGGTGTTAGGTGACTTTTAACTCACTCAGTAATATTGATTCATATTTCTGTATTTTTACAAAATTTATAAAAATTATATTAATATTTATGATTGTTGTTTGTCAAAAAGTCAAAACTAGTACCGAGTTAAAATACACTAGAAATTTGAATAAAGACAACTTTTAAAAAAAGTTGAACAGTAGTGCATCTAGTGTATCTAGGATTTTGAGAATATGAGTGCTGCTCAAGACAGATTCTGGGGTACGAAGGCATGTGTCCCATTGTTTCTCAGGGAATGTTACTCAATTACCTTAGAATTATTTTGGTTACCTAACATTTTACACCATCCTTCTTTTGTTAGCTTTTCAAAAATTGTTAAATGGAATATGGGAAATGGGTAATTGGTAATTTTGAATTGATAGACTTACTCTAATTTATATAATTTGTAATATGATTTATACTTGATGTAGTTCCAAAAGGAGAAATAAAAAAGTATAGAATCATTAAGTTCAGGGTTATTGAGAGCTTGTTTGGTATCCATGAGTAGAGTGAGCCCCTTTGCCATTGTTGTTTTGAATAAATAAAATATGCTATGTATTTCTTTTATTCAAATAAAATAGAATGTTACAGATTGTATCTTTATTAACAAAAAGTACTTTGAAAGATTTCAGTTTTTGTTAGTGAAAACCTTAATTTATATGGATAGGATCTCCTATGTTTTCTCCAGGCTCAGAGAAAAATATATAGCTCCCTCTTCACAACCCTGGTTGCATTTCTTATTTTCACTAGAAATTATGAATTCAATATAACTAATTTTGATGTATAATTATCTTTAGTGTGCTCTCTCTACTTTTTGTAATCTTTCCAATATTGGTTTAAATTTTTCTGCTTTTTACCATTGAAGTCATGTGATATGCATTACTATATATTTATTATTTTAAAGTAAAAAAACTGATTGCTTCGGTATCAATGAGGTGCCACAGCACTATAAACACTACTGGATAAAACTATTTTCCAAAATGTAACTTACAATTTTTAGGCATAAACTAAAAAAGAAGAAAAATAGAAAAATAAATTAACTAATGGACAAATAAGTTAGATCTTTATTAGATTTCTAACAACAATAGTTGTAATGCATTTTTATTCAGATTGTCCTGGGGTCTGAAGTTGTGAATGCAAGATTGTATAAACCAGACCCAAGCACAAACTTTTGACCCACTAGATTATTATTATTTTTTAAAATTGTAAACTTGCACATTCAACATAAACAGTTTGTTAAAAAAAAGTAATTCTTTTGATAAAGCACTTATTACTGAATTTGATACAGAAATTGTTATATTTTGACTTATTTATGTATACATTTTATATCACTTCTAATAAGCAAAATAATACAGACTATTTTAATGTTAGTTGTGTTGCATGCAAGATTTATTTTAATTTCATTTTCAGAGATTTTGAGAAAATTTAATAATATTGATTATTATAAATATTACATAAGAGTTAATACATGACAATCTTGTTTATATTATATAATGTAAGCAAGAAAAATGGTGCTGCCCTTGATATTATAAATTTGACAAAATTTTTACATAAAAATGATTTTTAGGTGCATATCACTCCTCAGTAAGAAAAAAATAATAAAAACACCTTTATAGTTTTTATTCCGTTTATTTTACTAAAAACTAACACAAAATTACTGTAAATAAAATGGTAAAAATAGCAATTTTCAACTACAAATAAATAGTGAAAAAGATTAAGTCTGTCAATATTGACAAGATGACATTCAGCACCAGCAATCAGATATTTTGCAGAATGTTAACAATAATATAATGTTATGTTTAACAACCAAATAATTGACACAGTTAAGATATTTGCAAATTATTATTATTATTGAGATTAAGAATAAGAAAATTATATTTTCAATCAAAAAGCAGAAAAATTTCTACAAGATTCAAAAGTAATATCTGTTATGTATACTGTAAAAAATATTCTGTCTTCAGAATATCTGTATTTGTTAATTTTGTTGACTTTCTAATTTCTTCTATAAATTTAGAAACTATTTTAGACACTAATTTTAATTTCAAATGATTAATAAAGCAAACCATTCTAGATATGTTTTCAGTTTTAAGTAGATATGTACTATAAAATTCCAAATTTATAACATCAATAATTATA